TTAATCCCAGCACTTGGGAGGCAGAGTTGGGCAAATCTCTGTGAGTTCAAGGCCGACCTGGTCTACATAGTAAGTTCCAGGCCAGCTGGGACTACAGGGAGACCCTGCTTCAAAAAGACCAAAGAAAAAGAGAAAAGAAAATAAACAAATGAACAAAAACTTTTAAGGTATTGAAGAAGAAACCAGAAGATGCTCAGGGATTGTTAGGATTAGTATTGTGAAAGGAATCATCCTACCAAAAGCAGCCTACAAATTCAATGCTATACCCATTAAAATTCCAACACAATTTTTCACAGAAATTGGAAAAAAATCTTAAATTTCACATGGAAACATAAAGAAACCCAGGATAACCTAAATAATCCTGAATAATGAAAGAACTGCTGAAGGCATTACTGTCTCTGATCCAAACTACAGAGCTATTGTAATAAAAACAGCATGGTACTGGCATAAAAATAGACACATTGATCAGTGGAATATAATTGAGGACCCAGATTTAAATCCACACATTTAGAGCCACCTTATTTTTGACAAAGGAGCCAAAAATACGCACTGGAGGAAAGAGAGCATGTTCAATAAATAGTGCTGGTCAAACTGAATAAGGGCATGTAGAAGATTGAAACTAGATCCCTATCTGCATCTTTTCCATTGCCTTTTATAACAAATGCCTGTGACTCAGTGTTTGGTGACATAGATCATAATGGAAGCTCAGCCTTCTGGTTACTAAAGAGAATGAGTAAGAAATTCTGTGGGGATGTAGACTGTTAGTTTGTATAACTAGATCTGAATTTTGGAATTTAGGCCCAAATTTATGATATATATGATTATTCAGAGTTTAAGATAATTGGGTTAAGGGAGTTGGGCATGGTGATGCAAACCTTTAATCCCAGTGCTTGGGAGGCAGAGGTAGGCGGATCTCTGTGAGTTCAAGGCCAACCTGGTCTACATAGTGAGTTCCAGGACAGTTGGGGCTATAGGAGACCCTGTCTCAAAAAAGCAAAAAAGAAATGATAAAAGAAATTATTTGGGTTCATAATTAGACATAAAAGAAAAACATTGTGTTTGAATGCCAGACATGTACCATTAAATGTGTCAGTCTATCCAAAGCTTGGATAGCTTTGTGGCTGTCAGAGGATTATACTGTATAGCTCTCTTCTGGTGTCACTGTGTGCTATGTAGCAAAGTAGAATGCAAAGCTTGTTTCATGGCTCCATGTTTTGGTGCAGCACATTACAGGGAATGTTTTATGGAAAGCTTTCTCATCAGCTTCCCATGAGGAAAATTAAGATTGTCTTGTAGTGCACCACACAGATGGGCAAGGCTTTTCAAAAGAGAAAACACTGAACAAAAGGGCATGTCGGGCATGCACACAGTCGCGTCATTGGCAGGAAGATGCAGACTGTCCTATGAATGTGTGAATTTGCAGAAGCTTTTTCTTTAAAGGATTAGTGTTTTTATTACTCATTGAGTAAGTGCTTTCTCCGATGTATACACAGAGTTTGTAGTTCTGCCTAGTCTTGTTCAGTTTAGTACTAAAATGAGCCTTCATAGCATTATTTCTGCCCATGGGGAGATTTTTGGAAGAATCTTAGATGGGCCAGTGAAATGGTCAGAATTCTAGTGTGTAGAGTTGCAGTCATTATTGCAAGTGACATGTTGAATTTTCCCTCTCAGTTCAGGCAAACTGTTAGTTTCTTTCATTGGTTGCTAAATCATTCCTTTGTCAGTAGAGGACCAGACTATATTTGAGGGAGATTTTTGCATTTTGTTAGTTTTAGGAATGAAGTTTCAAGATTTTAGAAATTTTCTCTCCCATCAGTTGTTCTGTTTGTAAAGTGTGATATCCACTGTCATCATGGTCCAGCCATATTATTATCACCACCCTGCAGAGTCCCTCAGGCCACCTGGCACTCTTTCTTCCTAGAGCTGTTTATTATCATATGGAGAAGAAATCAATACAGTATGAGACCTTTTATTTATTTTGTATTTTATTAAGTATATTAGAAATTTATTGCATTCATTTATCTTGTGTTAATTGCTGAATACTATTTTATTGAATCAGGATATCTCCATCATTTCATCTGCTGATGACCATTTAATTGTTTCAGGTTTTGTGGTTAATACACTTTGTAGTTAGTGACTTAGGAAAGGTATATTTACTTTTTAAAGAAACTGATAATTTGTGTTCTCAAAATGATTACACCATTTTGTATTCCTAGTAATGTGTGAGACTTTCAGTGACTTTTAATACTTGCTAATACTTTGTGTTATAGACTTTAAAAATTCTGTTTAATCTGTCTGGTGTGGCTTTAATCCCAGCACTTTGGAGGCATAGGTCTGGTCTACAAAGCAATTTTCCAGGCCAACTATGGCTACAGGGAGACCCTATCTCAGAAAAGTCCAAGAAAAGAATTCTATTCATTCTAGTGTGTATAATTGTTAGTTTCCATTTCTCTGACACTTATGCAGAAAATCATGCCTACTTAGTTGCTATGTGTGTCTTCTTTGGTCGAGTGTCTTTTTTAATGTTGTGTTCATTTTTTAAAGACTTATTTTTATTTATGGGTATGTGTATGCCCCTGTATGAGTATGCATATATGTGTGCAAGTACCTGTAAAGGCCAGAAGGACATTGGATCGCCTGGAGTTACAGGTGGTTGTGAGCTGCCATGTGGGTTCTGGGAATTGAGATCAGATCCTCTGTAAGAGCAGTAAGTGCTCTTAACCACTAGGCTCTCTCTCTGGCCCCTGTTGTGCTTATGTTTTAGAGTTAAATACATCATTATTGAATTATAACTCTTTATACTTGAACACAAACCCTTTCTCAGATATATGTTTTACAGATATCTCTTCAGAACATGGAATTTTCTGCCTTCATTTTCTTATATCTGCTAGTTAAAAAGCATTTAATTTTGTTGTGCAAGTATTTTCATATATTCTTCCTATTTAAGAAGTGGGTTACAGACATTATAGACCCTATATAGCAGGGCTGTTATTATTTTTTTTTTGGTCTTTTTTTTTTTTTTTTGGTCTTTTTGAGACAGGGTCTCCCTGTAGCCCTAGCTTTCTTAGAACTCACTATGTAGACCAGGCAGGCCTTGAACTCACAGAGATCCACCTGCCTCTGCCTCCTGAGTGCTGGCACTACAGGTGTGCGCCACCACGCCCAGCTATATTTTTTATTTATTTATTTATTTTTGGTCTTTTTGAGACAGGGTCTCCCTGTAGCCCTAGCTTTCTTAGAACTCACTATGTAGACCAGGCAGGCCTTGAACTCACAGAGATCTGCCTGCTTCTGCCTCCCGAGTGCTGGGATTAAAGGCCACTACGCCCAGCCAGAGCTGTTTTTTAGATCTGCAGCACATTTTCGGTTAATTTTAGAGTATAATATGGTGCTTTTAGCAAGATTTTATCCAGTGATTGTCATAATTTAATGGTGTTATGGCTTTGAGAAAAAATTAGCTGATCAAAGTCAGGCGTGGTGGTGCATGCCTTTAGTCCCGTACTTGGGAAGCAGAGGCAGGCAAATCACTGTGAGATCAAGGCCAGCCTGACCTACATAGTGAATTCCAGGCCAGCTGGAGCTACAGGTTAACTGTTCAGAAAAGTGTGAGTTTATTTCAGGACCTTCAACAGTTTATGTATATTAAAGGTGTATATCACCTATTTCCTTCTTCTTAACTAACAAATTTATTGTTTTAAAAGCTTTTTGTGATTTATTTATTTTTATTTTATGTGTATGAGTGTTTTGCCTGAATGTATGTAAGTGCACCTGTGCATACAATGCCTGCTGAGGCCAGAAGAGGGCAATGGATCCTTGGAACTGGAATTAGGGATGATTGTTTGCCACCATGTGGGTGCTGAGAACTGAACCTCAGTCCTCTGCAAGAATAGCCAGCACTCTTAACCACTGAGCTCTTTCTCTAGCCCTTATTTATTTATTTATTTATTTATTTATTTACATATTTATGTATTTTTGTATTTATTTATTTCTGACATGGCTGATTAAAACTCATTGTAGATCCAAAGTTGATTTGAACTCATGATCTTCCTGCCTCATCTTTTGAGTGCTTGAATTACTGGTGTGTATCACCACACCTGGCTTCTGGTAGATTTGTGGTAAAATTTTAACTATGTCCATACAGTATTTCAGGCTACGTTTTTTTTTTTGTTGTTGTTGTTGTTGTTGTTTGGTTGGTTGTTATTGTTGTTGTTGTTGTTTTGTTTATTTTGTCAGACTTAATAAAATCTATTTTTGTTTTAACAAATGAAGTGCCAATCTTTCCTTAGAATTAATCCATGATATTGAGTAGTTTGGCATTTTGAACGCTTATGTATATGGTACTGCTATAAAATTTCAGATTTCTCATCACAGAAGCTCTCATGATAACTGTGTGTTCACTGTGCATCTAGTGGCCTTGATGAGCCACATCAGTTGCAGTAGTTTGTCTTTATTGTCTGGATCATCTGTGTGTGTCTTTCTCTTCACGTTGAGTTGTAGATGCCTGCAGTCACGTTTTCAGCAAATAATGACAGCTTACTCTTTTGTAAATTGCGTGCTTTGAGTTCTGCACAGAACCTGCCACGCTGCTGAACTGAAGTTGGGATAATGAGCCTTTTCACTCAGCACTTTGTTTTAGGGTCAGACTTTGTAGTATTTTACACATAGGCATTATTCGCATTGTTCATTAATTTTTCTTGTTCATTTTAAAGTTATTTTAATCCTTTATCAGGTATTAAGGAATATTAAGGAAATATTTTTATCATTAACAAGTTTTGAAAATTATGAAATACTTTTCTGCATCTGTTTATAAAAATCATATTTTTCTTCTGTATAGTATCAATTCTGCATTCTTAAGATGAGTTATCTGTGCTGTATTATTTTCATTATATGTCGGAAAGTTGTGTGAATTTTTAAATTTTGTTGCCATTAATACAGAATGTTAAGTAAATGCTTGGTGTGCTGTCCTTTCTCCTTTTTAAAAATAATGCTTTTTCTTTTAGTACGACACCACCATACTGTTGTGTGGATCTGTATTCACTTCGTACCGGGGAAATGGTCAAGTCCATTCAGTTTAAAACACCCATTTATGATCTTCACTGCAATAAGCGGTACGTATTTTTCACATATTTCTTTTCAAATAATAATATACCTCCTGGATACACAAAGCTCTACCAATTTCATGATGTAGAGTCATTGAATAAAAATTTGGAGTTCTGTCTAATGAAATAATTAAGATTTCTTGTTGAATATTTTCAGACTTAAAGGTTTAACCATGAATTGTGAATCCAATGTAGTGAGATATGAATATCATTTAAAAAACAAAATAGAGCCGGGTGTGGTGGTGCACACCTTTAATCCCAGCACTTGGGAGGCAGGGGTAGGAGGATCTCTATGAGTGAGTTCCAGGCCAGCTCGGGCTACAGGGAGACCTCAAAAAGGCAAAAACAAAAAAATCTCGCCAAACACCCCCCCAAAAAAAAACAAAACCAAAATGGAACAGCATAAATAGTAGCTCAGAAAATACAGAAAAGTGGAGTATTGCCACTGTACGTGTGTTTTTTTTCCGCCAGTGGAGAGTCAAACCCAGGTTGTGTATATGCTAGGCAAGCACTCTACCCCTGAGTTGCATCTCTAGCCCTTAAGTATTGTTTTGAGAGCAATACTTTGTTTGGCTGGTTCTAGGGATTGTATTGGTGTTTGGGGGCATGCTAGGCTAGTGTTCTACCCTTGAGCTAACATTCCCCCCCTACCCCAAACATTATTTTGATATAAGGTCTTGCTAAGGTTAGGCAGGCTAGCCTTCATGTTATGATCCTCCTGGCCCAGCATCTTTAGTTGGGATTTTAGGTAGGAGCCACCATATTTGACCTGCTTCTATGCTTTCACATTTCACAACGGAACTAAACCAGGGATTGGGTTGATTTTCCTTCTTTTCTTTTTTTCTTTAAATGTTTTAATACAAGGTTTCAATATATAGCCCTGGCCAGCCTGGAATTTGCTGTGTAGACCAGACTGGCCTTGAACTCAGAGTACTGGGATCAATAATACCTGATTCATCGTGCCCATGGGTTTCCCCTCTTTAAAATTGTGAGAAAGTAATCAAATGTAAATTAAACTACCTGAATTCTCATGATAATGATATATTAACCACAGACTATTAGAGGAGAAAGAAACGTTAGCAGTCCACTCTTCACAGAAACCTTGAGATGGCAAGTACTCTGATCAAAGTCTTAGGCACAAGGTGTACATCTTCTACAATCAAAAACACAAACACATGAGACTGGGGAGCTGCCTGTGTGGGTAAAAGTGTTTGCTGTGCAAGCTTGAGAACATTAGTTTGAATCCCCAGAACCCATATAGAAGCCAGACACTTAGTACAAGGTCTGTAATCCCTGTATACCTATGGGAGATGGAAGGTGGAGACAGAGGAGTCCCTGGAAGCTCTCAGGCCAGCTAGCCTGACGTACACCATGGTGAAATGACAAGAGCGACCCAGCCTCAAACAAGGTGCAAGGCAAGGACATACCCTGGGCTGTCCTCTGACCTCTGTACACAGGGCATGGCATGCATGTGTCCACTGACATGAGCGCACACACACATTCACACATCACACACACACAAAACACACAAAGACTAATTTTAAAAAGCCAACACATGTGGCATAAATTATTCTCTTCTGCTTCAGTCAGTACAAATGAAGAGTCTCAGATTATATTTTAATGAGTTGCTTAAAAAAGAAATACTAGGGCTATAGCTCAGTGGTAGAGAGCTCACCTAACATGTGTGAGGCCCGAAGTTCAAGCCCCAGCAGTCCAAAAACAATCAAACATACACACCATAAACAAAAAAAGATATATGTAAGAAATGCAAAGAAAATATGGACTTGACACTAATGGTCACATTCAAATTCAAGGAAAAAAACCCTCAAAGTTGTAGGAAGCAGAAAAACCGTTCAGCACACTACTGCCAGTGTATTATGCTTAGCCTGTGGCACCAAATTTCTCAACATCATAAAAAAAGCTGAGTGTATGGGAAGGTTTGGATCAATTAGATAATACATTTATCCCAAGAAACTGTCCTTGCTGTCTCATACTAGATTACGTACTAATAAAACACATTATCACATTCTAAGAGATGAGCTAGATCAAGAAGACTTAGATTTTTTTTTACAATTTCCTTATGTTATTAATCCATAAAAATCCAGATAGAGCAGCAACAAAACTCTGACTCTTGTTTGTTTAAATTATCTTTCAGCTTAAATTAGAGAGGAAATTAAGTTGTAATTGCATATCATTCAGAAATTAATAGCAGACTATGTATATGGTAACACTTGAGGATCTTAATAGAAAAGATTCTGATTGCCCAGAGATGAGTGTAGCTAACTGTATCTGAATTTGCTTTTGGAAAGCGTAGCATATGAAATCACCATAGCTCTTCATTAGTTTATAACTAATCGGGAGTGTATGCAGTAACCTGACAAAGTTGAGGTGAAGAAGACTGGTGGGACAGAAACTATGGGGAATCTGTCTCCAAATGAATAATTTCAGTAAAGGGTAGGTGAGGGGTAAGCCCTCCTGCAGCAGGGAGGCAGCACTGACTCCGAGGACCAGCCACTAGCCTCTGAAGGTGCTGCTTTGAAGGTCAGCGCTTATTCTGGGCCTATTCTCCCAGGGTGATTTTGAGGTGTTGAGGGGTAGAGTGGGTACTGTGTTTTCCTAACTCACAAGCTTCACGTTGAGACTTACTGTACACAAGGAATTCTATCAAAGGCTTGTCAAGTGCTTCTGGGTCTGACTTTGATGATAGGGCTCCATGCTGATGCCAGAAAGGAATGAGCTCCCCACTTGCCCCATGAGAGGAAGAATATGCACCTTTTTATGTGGAGGGATCAGTAATTGAATAATTTAAACAAAGCAACTATAATATTTTTAGACATTTTCCCTTCTGTCATCAGATGGATTCTTCCACAGTGAGTGTAGGGTCTTCTAGTTGCTCACATCAGAGGACTAGAATACAGTGAATGTGGTGATGATCAGCTCTACAGGACAGGTCCTCTTATTTGGATTAAGGTGTAGATTTGAGAAAGTTGGTGCAGGGTAGGTTGTAAGGATCAGCTGGTGTAGCAGGACAGATGTAAATCAAAGTACAAGTCAAAAGAGAAAATTAAGGAGAAGGATGAAGTGCTTTAGATGCAGGCAGATGCTGATGGGGGACCAAACAAAGCAATCTAAGAGTGGACAGTGGGGAAAGAAACCTTCTCCAATCTTAAAAAAAACACTCTACATCATGAAGGGGAACTGAGACCAGGTATGTCAATCACATTAGAAAGAGTTGGTAAACTTAAAACACCTAAAAGAAAAACTTTCAAATATATTCAAGGATGTATCTTCTTGGTGTCCAAAGATGATGGTGGAACACACCAAACACATCTTTATGACTGTACTGACTCAAAGTTTCAGTAGAGTAATAGGTATTCAAAATTGGTCAGGTGAAATGATGCAGTTTGCTGGGCATGATGGCACACACACCACAGCATTTGAGATATAGAGGCAGGAGAATGAGAAGTTCAAAGTCATCTTCAGCTACACAGCAAGTTTGAGGCCAATGTGGGATACATGACACATTCTCTCAAAAAATTAAAAGTAGAGGGGGCTGGAGAGATGGCTTAGCAGTTAAGAACACTGGTTGTTCTTGCAGAAGACCTGGGTTCATATCCCAGCACCCACATGGCAGCTAACAACTGTCCGTAACTCCAGCCCCAGGGGCTCCAACAGCCTCTTCTGACCTCTGTGGGTGTTGCACAACACAGGTGCACTTACCTACATGCATGCAATACACGCATACACATAAAATAAAAACAATTTATAAAATAAAAAATTAAAAAAAAATTAAAAGTAGAAAAGAAATTATATGTTTGAAAAAGAAATATTTAAAAAACAGAGAAAAGTTATTGGAGCCCATGAACAAATGAAACATTATCAGAAGTTTTAATGAGAAGCCAGATATATGAGAAAATATCTGAAAAAAAATTTGAGACAGGGTCTCACTTTATAGTCCTAACTGGCTTGGAACTTGCTGTGTAGATCAGGCTGGCCCCAAGTTCATAGAGATCTACCTACCTCTGCCTCCCAAGAACTGGGATTAAAGGCATGTGCCACAATGCCTGGGTGAAAAAATTTTTTTAAAGATTTATTTTTATTTTTAATTATATATACGTGTGTAGGGTTATATTCACATGCATATAGGTGCCCTCAGAGGCCAGAGATGTCCCATAGGAGGTTGTGAGCCATCTGATGTGGGTCCTGAGAATTAAATTTGGGTCCTCTTGAAGAGAAGGAAGTGCTCTTAACCACTAAGCCATCTCTCCAGTCTGAACAAAGGTTTTTTAAAAATATCCAAATTTTATGAAGAGCATAAGTTTATATATTCATGGATACATACAAACACAACAGGTTAAACAGGAAGAATATTTTTTCTAAGGACATCATAGTTAAGTAGGTGAAAACTAATGATGTAATAAGGAAAACTTGAGGCATCTACAGAGAGCTCATTCTGTGACATGTGTTGGTGCTCACTCAGAAGCACCAGAGGAAAACGTCCATTTCACTATATCTCTACTTCCCACCCTTGCAGTCTGTCAACTCCCCCTATTTCTCTTTTCATTCTTTTAAAATATTTTATTTATTTTTATTTTATGTGTATGAATATTTTCCCTATATGTATATAAGTGCACCATGTGCATGCAAGTGCCCTCAGAGGCCAGTAGAGGGTGTAGGGTCCTCTGGAACTAGAGGTAAGAACAGGTATTAGCTGCTATATAGGTGCTGGGGATCCAACCTGGGTCCTCTGCAAGAACACTGAGTGCTCTTAACTGTGGAGCCGTCTCTCCAGCCCCTCTTTTTTTCTTTTTTGAGACAAGGTCTCACACTATAGCCCTATCTGGTCTTGAACTTGTGATCCTTGTGAGAGCTGGGCTTCTAGGCTTGAGTCACTGTGTTTAACGTCCCCCTTCCTGGTGACTGTTACTCTTTCCTTGCAGGTGCACTTGTACGTGTGTAATCATCATCACTATCATCGTCATTATTTAAGTGCTTATGATTGAACCCAG